AGATCGCTTTCTGAGGTTACTTTCTGTTACCGGTTGATTATAGGGTTCATGGCGTGGAACGTATCCAGCGTTACACTGGCTCTTAAAACATTTATGAGAGTTCCTATTTTTCATTAGTGTAAAATATTTACCTCCAACTGGTCATATATTGCACTCCAAATTGCGATAACATAGCATTCTCACATGAATCGTTATTTTCAACTCGGACTTTTTTAATCATTCTTTTACTTCTTTATTATGACAGGTGGAAAATATCGTCGGTCGAAGAGTTCGCCGTGGTAGAGTTGAATATCGAGTCAGGTGGAAAGGTTTTCCACCCAACCAAGATTCCTGGGAACCGTTTACTAGCCTAAGAGAATCTTGTTTACCTCTGATTCAGGAATTCCATAACCGAAGAATGCTACGAAATAAGAGGCGTCTCACCGTGCCTGTAGCCGCGTCTCATCGAATAAGGATGAACAGAGATGCATCTGACACTCACGAGGTCTCTTCCACAGAGACTGATTTGAAATTGAAGGAAGCTGATAGCAGCGCATCGTCTACTCGAAGTCAGCAACCTTCTCGTGCATCCAAAAGGACCACGGACGACAAGTTGCTTGGTTCGATGTCTGGTCGTTCACATGCGCAGTCTACGGCTTCCGGTGTAACGTACACGGGTTCGATCTCCGTCAATTACAATTGCCTCATTCCCGCAGACTCCATGGAAAATGCACTTCATTATACCTCCGAGTCGCTAAGTCCTAACACCCATCGTCTTGAATCACTCATCGCTCGTGCAAGTGTCGACAGTGCAGCGTCTACGATTTCCACTTCAACAACAAGCTCAGGCAAAGCTCGTCGCTCGTCAAAAACACCAACTTCCTCATCGCGTCCCCATTCTACTGGAGAAAATGAAACAGTGCAGGGCAAACCCAACGGTATTTTCACTTCAGCGGGCAAGGCTAAAGTGGAATCATCAGCGAATGACACAAAACTTCAGCTAGGCGCTTCCCCTCGATCTACCAAATCATCTACACACAACACGGGTGCGCAAACCAAGACGAATAAAGGATCAGCACAAACAGGTAAAGTGACACAGTCTGCACGTGCACGGGATGATGTAACCACCGAAAATGGCGTTCCTGACTCTGGACGTAAATCAGTTACCATCATGCTTAAAACTTCGCCCACTCATGAATTCCACAGTACCAAAGCCCTTCAGACACAGCATAGCACCTGTGTTACCCCAAATACCCGTCCACAAACGAAGAAAGTTGCTGAAGTGGTCGCGTTGCACGAAAAACAAGAGTCTGGTTCCTCCCAGTCGACAGCTGATTTAGCCTCCAACTACAACACAACTTCGGTAACACCATCTGAAACTGCTATTGCAGAAGTGTTGACTATCGTAAGTCATTTGAAGGATCTACGTCGTCGACCCATTCAGTCTGCTATCATTGATCTTGGTCAGCGTAATCATAATTTGAGTGAAAATGAGGTTTTGTCTGCCCTTAATACATTAGTTTCCCGTGGTCAGTTGAACGAGGTCGCTTTCTCTGATGGTATATCTTATCGTTTCGGCCCGCCTATCGTGGCACGCGGTGATCTCAGTCATCCAAACACATTGTCAGCCAAAATCAAGGCCAAGTATGCATCCAAAATCAAAAGAAAAAGGGGACAAAAGGTACCAAGTGCACCCCCAGGTAGCAAACGATCATCCTCTTCTGCAGAAGTGCATGGGACTGCGGCTAAAAAAACAAAAGCCAACTCCACAGTATCAAATTCTACGCCTGCCCACCCAACACACGGTCCATGGGCTACTCCAGCAAATCAGTCTTGGCCAGCCTATCAGTCTACATTTGGTAGGGTATTAAAACCAACAGCCGTACGAGCAATTGCTTTTAGTCAGTTACTTCGCAACGGTTCACTAGCGAATCAGTCGTTGGACGCACCAAATTCAGACAAGGGAAATGGAGCAGTTTTGTCGGCGATCAGACTGTCACATACTGCCGAAAGTGGTTCCACTACAGTTCAAGGTGAGTTGTTTCATGGACCAACAATTGTATAAATTTAGAGAAAGCAGAAGAATACATCTAAAACAGATTAGAGGAATTTCACTCTGATTTTCTTAATAATCCAAACTATAAATATAGCTGACGCTTTTATCTTATCTGCACTTCGCTAAGAGTAATTGATTCCTCCAAGCCACCACCATTGCGATTTTTCTTGCAGTGCATGTTCTTCATCTTTTTGACGTTTCTGTTTGAGATTCCACATTTGTCACAGTTTCTCATGAAAACCATCTTTTCACTGCTTCCAGAAAATACTGTTTCTTCACCCCAGTCGCTACACCCCCTTGGATCGCGAATCTTTGTCGTTCCACCAGCCAGCCCAGTCAGGGATACAAATATTGATATCCGATTCAACAGCCTGCCTCATCGACGCTTAAATCAGGTGCGTTTTGTTCTACACTAACTCCACTAATGTTATTGACATTGATAGATCACTAAGATAGCAATAATACCCTGCATCGTTAAGGTAGAGCATATCATTTGTAGCTGCTCAAGTCGTGCCAAAGAATTGGACGACTCAACTCCAAAGCCATCTCCCAAGTCAAAAACACTCACAATCTTATCTTCACATTTAATCAAATCTGAAATTCATCAAATGAAGCAGATCTTTTGTAATAATAATAATAATGATAATAATAATAATAATAATGTACTCCAAACTATTCAGAAGAATGTTTCGCGAGTGAAGTAGAATGGCTTTTAAGTGTTCGTGAAGATGGTGGATTGATCGGTTTTGTGCATGTTACTGTGGGGTGATCGTTATTCGGAAAGGGTCCTTCCAATACATCACAACTGGTTTCCGATGTTTTTGAGGAAGGTCTTGGCCTCTCGGAACATGCTGATGAAGTGAAACCGTCTGTTCTCGGTCATCTAGCAGATGGACGTGAGCGTATTTGGGATTACACCTGATAGGTTCAACTTCATCGACCAATGAATCATATTTGCTCGATTGAATTGGACGGTGCATCAAGACCCGTCCCGGATACATCAACCCAGTGGACGGTGACACTCCGGTGATCGTGTTCGTAGCCATACATAAGAGAGCGAATGGAGTGTAGGTCGTCCGGTTGTACATAGGCTCACTGCCTGGCAGTGAAACCTCGTTACTTGGCTAGCAGCATAACTGAATACCTTAGTGTCCCTTTCAGTCTCTTCACCTGACCATTCGACTGTGAATTGTAAGCAGTCGTTCTGCCTGTGGAAATCAATTATGTTGGCAGTCAAGTCAAGAGGTCTCACTACCAGCCAGTGGGAATAAGTCCTACCGGAAGCCCTCCACTCCATTCTCTCAGCTACGAACACAACTCCCCTTGAGAGATTGTTTTCCTTCATTCGTAAATCGACCACCGAAGCGTCACTGCCCACTTGGTTGATGAATCCGAGACAGGTCCTTCAGTAGTCTGGTCAGATAATCTGCTCGTCGTCCGGTGTCTGAAGACGTGATTGTTTTAGATTGGTTTGTAATCAGACAATAGAGTTGGGGTTCAATGCGTGCAGCGACCATGCCAGACAGAGAAAGGCGGTCTTGAACCATTGAGGGAGATTTCGATTTTTTAGTGAAGTTTCAAGGAACAATGTCTGAGTACCACATCTACACGAAAATGGCGGAGCATCAAAAGCCTTAAGTTACTCCGGGTGTTGTTTCTGACGAACCAGTACCTCAGAATGCGAACGACAAGGTAAGTGGAAGCTATTGAAATGACGTTAGTGGACTGCGTAGCCTCTAAATTTCGTTCGCGCACGACCGAAATGGATATATGTCTGAACTTCCTGGATCCATCAGAACGTGCAACGGAATATCATTCACAGAAACTTTTGTAATTGCATTAAACAGTCGAAAGTAGAGGAAGCAATCACCGTAGACAAGACAAATTCAGTGGCGAAAGTTGTTTCCTGGAACAACCTGATCAACAAACTCGTTTGAATTGCCCCTTCTTGCCACAGTTTCCGCAGACAGCACCTTAAGCCGGACAGCTGAGGCGTGGATGGGTGTTGTAACCACAGAAGTGGCGTTTACCTTTCGTGACTGCCGTCGTAGTCGAACTGACCTCTTTTGCTCTTAGTCGGTGGGGGAGTATCTAGAGATTGAATGAAAGTAGAGTCTGAGACCAGGTAAGGGATCGAGGTTGAATTAGAAGCATCGCATTGCTGCTGGGTCGTCTTCGGTGATCGCACTAGTTCTAGGACTTTTGTCAAGTCCGGAGTATTGCGTTCTAGCAGACGCTAGAGTACACCATTCGAAAGCATACCACTTATAAAACATCCTGTATTGCATCACTTTCATTCCGGTGTTTCGTTACACACCGACAGTTCCACTCTGTAGCTAGCGATTTTAACCTCTAGAAAAATTGGTGGAACTCTGTTCTACTTCTTGCTTGTATCCAAAAGATGGTGAGCAAACACTTCGTTTGGTGGTTTGACCTGGGCTCCAGTGTTGCGATAGCATCCTTATATATTGGAAAGTCCGCGATATGGGGGAAATGGAGTCGTACAACAAGGCCCATTTTTTCGGAGTCGTCCGTGCCAAGTTTAGAGATAAGACAATGGAATGTACAAAACCAGTGACTTCACACTTCAAATGACGTATTTGCGCTACGATCTGCATCCAATCTTTCAGGTCGTAGAGAGAGCTCTATCGTGTTGATTGTTTGCTGAATAGATTAGAATGAATGGCCACAACCAATTGATTACGGCTGAACAGAAGTCCGAGAGCTCAGAATTCAGGCGTTATTCAGCAAACAACAAGAGATTGAAAAAAGGAAAACAGGTACACAATAGAGAACGGACTGTAAAGTGATGCAAAACAGACACAAACGATTAAACAGGACATCTTTCCAAAACATTTATTTACCTTTTTTGTTTGTTCTCGCTCTACTTCACTCAGCCTTTTCCTTCCACCGAGACCACTCTCGACCAAACAGAACGGTCAGACTCCTGCAATCGGAATAGCAGTTCGTCCGCACTCGTTTCCAATCCTCCAGATAATTCCACAGACCCGGGTTCCGTGTTGCATTCCACTGGGCCACCAGCAAATGGCGTTAGCAGCACGTCTCGCCGTAGCAGCTCTCGTCAGTCAGACACTGTGTACAAATTCAAGTCAATATTGGTGAAGAGAAATGTTGACGGTGGTTTTACCGAGATCTGGCTTCAATCCCCGGGTTCTCTGCTGAAAAACGCCTTCACCATCCAGGTAAAGCATATCCACTTGGATCAGTTTTTCTTTCCCGCGCTTCCTTCTTTTCCCTTGAATGGTTCATAATTGCCGGTAATTTTCATTGAGGTCTTGAACAATTAATCTTGATCTATTACTTTTCATGGTGGAAAGACAACCGCAGAAGTTCACTGCCGTGTTACTCATTTCCAGCTGCAGTCATTGAACTCACTTCCGGGTCGGCCTTACTACCGCAGGTGCAATAGACTCTGGTTAGCTCTTCACTGTCCGAACACATTTCCACCGAATTCGCATAATATTGGGGCTCGGGTCCAAGGGCTTTAACAGGCATGTTTTGGCTTTCAGTTTAAGCAACCGCTAACCATACACTTTCGTGCTGCGGTTTCGATTGCTGTCCTTTGGCTCTCTTTTCAGATGAAGGGTTAAAGGAAGAATGTTGAGAGCAATGTGAAAATGACGGCAGAGAACTCATGTAGGCTAAGGTTGGGAGGACAATGAGTAAATGCATGAGCGCCACTGTTTACAACACCCAGTGTGACTCTGTGTGACCCGGGGGGTCGCCACCCAGGAAGTCTAACACAACCTTGGCAGTTACATCTCACCCGGTGCACGCATCACGGATGATGTGTCAGCTTGCATACAGAAGGCTCGGTTGGTATTCGCCAACTTGAGACATCTGTGGCGCCGTCACGACATCCGGCTGTCCGTTAAGGGTCGAGTGTATGCTGCAGAAATCCGGTCAGTTCTGCTATATGGAGCAGAGACTTGGCCGTTAAGAAAACAGGATAAAGATAGACTGTCGGTGTTTGAACATCGCTGTCTACGCAGCATTGCACGAATCTGGTGGGGCAGCCGGATGAGCAATGCTGAGGTTGGCGTAGAGTTTTAGGCAGTCGCGGTCGTCCGCTGGAACATAGATTATGTTGGTTGGGACATGTGTTACGTATGTCATCAGATAGGTTGCCACGGCGAGCGATGTATGCCGAGGCAAGTAGTGGGTGGAATAAAACCAAGGGTGTTCAAGCTAGGACCTGGCATGAGGGTATGAAAACCCTAACCGGGAGTCTGGGTCACATAGGTTCTGTTAGGCTCCCTGGCTGGGGACCTCGGGATGGTCGTAATCGATGTTTAGAGACATTGAGCGATACGACTGGGTGTTGTAAACGGTGGCGTTCTCAATTCCTTTGCATCATTAGTCTACTGAACTTCGATCCTACTTTCATTCACCTTGTTTTCCTCCTATTTTCCGCCC